AAGAAACAGCTGCATAAAAGGACGTCTCGTCAGGCAGACCCGGCCAGAACAGGAGGAGAGCAGAGAGAGCCAGAGACAGACGACGGTCTCGCTCGTCACCGCTCCGCCCTCGGCACCCAGGGCACGGGTCTCTCGCGGGGTCAAGCATCTATCTCCCCCAATAAATCCTCCGGCAAAGAGCCCCTTTCATTCACCTGTTCTACGCCCCCAACCTCTTACGTTGACAAGTGGGGAAAGAACGGTCCATCATCATTGGAAGAAAAGAGCATTTTCAAAAGTGGATTCACCTTCATCATCGAGTAGTCTCGGTGGCAGAAGGAAGGATAAAAGCTCGATTTCTTTCCAATTATTAATGGTAGATAGTCACATAAAATACCCTTTCTGTGTTGCAGGTCAGCGGCAGAATCACTTTGACTAGACACGATTTGATGCGCCCAACTCAAACCATTCCCACGTTAAAGTGAGCCAACTCTGCAGGTCCTTGTGCTGTCCGCAATCTGTCCTGATGTGAGGTAAGGTACAAGGGCCTGCGATACCTTCAACTTTATTGTTCATGAAAAGCAATAAAAAAACCTCTGAGAATGTGAATCAAAATACAGGTAAAATAAGAGGAAAATTCAACATTTATTCTTGGTATTTTTTATTGGTATATAAAAGGGAAGTCTGAGATATATACAGGAAACGATATATACTGGTAGAGTAGGCCTACTCGGAAAGTGAGCTCATGTCAGTTAAGCATCAAACTAGCGTGACAACAGAATTTGCTGTCAACGACTTAACAGCTTGGTGGGCGCGGGCGTGGGCGGACTTGACCTGAGCCACGGCCAGTGTCCACGACGAGGTCAGAGGCGGCCACCCTGAAGCCAGAACCGGGGGCGGCGGCGTACTTCCTCACCTGGACGTCCCCCTCGGTCCACGTAGGCGAAGCTGCCGGAGGTACGACCCAAAGAGTCCCTGGTCTCCACGCGGTGTTGGGCCGCCGTAGTGGCCGAAGGTGTACTGGCCGGCCTCGTCCTGGGCGTGGAATTGGCCTCCCACGTGAGGGACGCTGAGGGAGGGCATGGGGGGTTCAGGGGCCATGAGGGGCTCAGGCGCTGCCACTACAGTGACGGGGACAGCGCTCTTGACCACAGGGGCGACTGCCACAGGGGCAGCAGGAGCCACAATGGCTGCACTCTTGACCAGCGGGACAACAGGGGCCACAGCTACAGGGGCAGCTTCAACGACGGTAAGGGAAGGGGCGGCCTTCACAACGGGGACAGGGACAGGGGCGGCCCTCACAAAGGGGACAGGGGCAGGGGCGCTTAATACCATTCCCAAGTTTACACCTGGTTCAGGAATCTTCATAACAGCCGGAAGGTTCCACTGTGGACTGGCCACAGTTCCTGCCACCGTCTGATAAAGCTGCGGAGCCGCGGAGCATGTTGCTGCCAACAGAGATAAAACCTGTAAAAGAAAATAATAGATAAAAAGCATATCAGTTGCATCTAAAGGAAATCATACAGGCAGCACAGTATAAGATAACAAAACATTTGAACAAGAATAGCAACACATATAGCCATGACTTCTTTAAAACACACATTCCATTAATATGCTCCATTTTGACAAAGCAATCCCGATGTTTACTAACAATGAATTTCATTTTGTGTCGCTGGGGAGGTCGCGGACGGAGGTCTCTCTGGACTGGACGGAGGAGGTTTGGGAAGGTCGTCCGAGAATCCCGCCTTTTATACCCGCTCGTCTCGACCCGTGACCACGCCCTCCATAGCGCCAGATGCAGGACTTTTTTTCTCCAAAGGTTTGTCGTTTTGGTTTTAGTACGATTGTATTTTTTTCTTGGGGGGGGGGCTGTTAACATTATGATTGGCTGTCTGCATTTATTATGGTTTATGTATTTTTTCACTGTTCTTGTTCCACTGACATCTATATTAATATCATTAATCATTGTTATTACGATCATCATTACTATAAAGAAATATAGTTATCATTATTATTATCATTATTATTATTGTAATTATTATTGATATATCTCTCATAATCATTGCTATTATTATCGTTATCATTACAACAATTCTCATTATGATGATAATAACAATAATTATCATTATCATTAATGTCAGTATTATCATTGCCATCATTATTATCATCGCTATTATCTTTATTTCTAAGATGAACATTTCAATATCATCATAATTATTATCATCACTGTAATCATCTTCATTATCCTTATCTCTATCATCTTCCTCTTACTTATCCTTCTGTTCCTCAACATCATCATCATTATAACTGTTATTGTTCTCAGGATTATAATAATGATCACTGCTGGTATTAGCATCCCTTCAAAGGATAATAACAGTTATTATCATCATTACTATTTCTAGTGTTGTTATCATTATTAACATCATTATTACTATTATTATGATTATCATTATTATTATCATTACTATTGTTATTGATATTATTAGAATTATTATCATTATTATCATCATTACTATTGTTATTGATATTATTAGAATTATCATCATTATTATTATTATTTTCATTACCATCATCAGCATAGATGTCTTAGTGCAGTAAAATCTTTAAAAATCCGAAGAATGCATAAGTAGTATAACATGTACACTTTTACAGAGTGTTGTACCGACTCCGACAACAGCTAAAGCCTCTAGATCAGTGGCAGAGCATTTTTCAGCAGCTGTAAGTTTCCGGGAACAGCTGGGCACTACATGGAAGTTGCCAACTCTATACTTTTGCGCGAAATAAGAACTTCGAGAGATTCCAGATGTGTCAGTATGTATGTTTAACAACTCTGCAACATTTGGCTGACTCAGTGCAAGGGCTATTGCTATATTTTTTTTTATTATTATTATTCAAATGATAGCCACGGTTTTCGTTATCTATTCTTTATAATTTCACAGTAATTTGGTGATTTAGGCAGCTACAGAAGCATAGTAACACACAATTTCCCGTAGAATCCAATAGCGCATAAAATAACTAATTTGGATAAGGTGGTGTCAGCGATACATGCAAGGCCGGATGGTTACCTCTTTCGCACCTAGGCCCCGTAGCTGCCCTCCCCCTTCAGCTGATGCAGGTGCTCACTTTACTTTTCCTTGTGACACTCTCCTAAGCAAGCGAAACGCCCTCTAAAAAACAGCTGCATAAAAGACGTCTCGCCAGGCAGACCCGGACAGAACAGGAGGAGAGCAGAGAGAGCCAGAGACAGACGACGGTCTCGCTCGTCACCGCTCCGCCCTCGGCACCCAGGGCACGGGTCTCTCGCGGGGTCAAGCATCTATCTCCCCCAATAAATCCTCCGGCAAAGAGCCCCTTTCATTCACCTGCTCTACGCCCCCAACCTCTTACGTTGACACGGGAAAGAACGGTCCATCGTCATTGAAGAAAAGAGCATTTTCAAAAAGTGGATTCACCTCATCATCGAGTAGTCTCGGTGGCAGAAGGATGGATAAAAGCTCGATTTCTTTCCAATTTCTAATGGTAGATAGTCACATAAAATACCCTTTCTGTGTTGCAGGTCAGCGGCAGAATCACTTGACTAGACACGATTTGATGCGCCCAACTCAAACCATTCCCACGTTAAAGTGAGCCAACTCTGCAGGTCCTTGTGCTGTCCGCAATCCGTCCTGGTGTGAGGCAAGGTACAAGGGCCTGCGATACCTTCAACTTTATTGTTCATGAAAAGCAATAACAAAACTCTGACACTGTGAATCAAAATGCAGGTAAAATAAGAGGAAAATTCAACATTTATTCTTGGTATTTTTTATTGGTATATAAAAGGGAAGTCTGAGATATATACAGGAAACGATATATACTGGTAGAGTAGGCCTACTCGGGAAGTGAGCTCATGTCAGTTAAGAATCAAACTAGCGTGACAACAGAATTTGCTGTCAACGACTTAACAGCTTGGTGGGCGCGGGCGTGGGCGGACTTGACCTGAGCCACGGCCAGCGTGTCCACGACGAGGTCAGAGGCGGCCACCCTGAAGCCAGAACCGGGGGCGGCGGCGTACTTCCTCACCTGGACGTCCCCCTCGGGTCCACGTAGGCGAAGCTGCCGGAGGTACGACCCAAAGAGTCCCTGGTCTCCACGCGGGTGTTGGGGCCGCCGTAGTGGCCGAAGGTGTACTGGCCGGCCTCGTCCTGGGCGTGGAATTGGCCTCCCACGTGAGGGACGCTGAGGGAGGGCATGGGGGGTTCAGGGGCCATGAGGGGCTCAGGCGCTGCCACCACAGTGACGGGGACAGCGCTCTTGACCACAGGGGCGACTGCCACAGGGGCAGCAGGAGCCACAATGGCTGCACTCTTGACCAGCGGGCAACAGGGGCCACAGCTACAGGGGCAGCTTCAACGACGGTAAGGGAAGGGGCGGCCTTCACAACAGGGACAGGGACAGGGGCGGCCCTTCACAACGGGGACAGGGCAGGGGCGGTTAATACCATTCCCAAGTTTACACCTGGTTCAGGAATCTTCATAACAGCTGGAAGGTTCCACTGTGGACTGGCCACAGTTCCTGCCACCGTCTGATAAAGCTGCGGAGCCGCGGAGCATGTTGCTGCCAACAGAGATAAAACCTGCAAAAGAAAATGTTAGATAAAAAGCATATCAGCTGCATCTAAAGGAAATCATACAGGCAGCACAGTATAAGATATCAAAATATTTGAACAAGAATAACAACACATATAGCCATGACTTCACACAATTCCATGAATATGCTCCATTTTGACAAAGCAATCCCGATGTTTACTAACAATGAGTTTCATTTTGTGTCGCTGGGGAGGTCGCGGACGGAGGTCTCTCTGGACTGGACGGAGGAGGTTTGGGAAGGTCGTCCGAGAATCTCGCCTTTTATACCCGCTCGTCTCGACCCGTGACCACGCCCTCCATAGAGCCAGATGGAGAGAGGGCTTTTTTTCTCCAAAAGTTTGTCGTTTTGGTTTTAATATCATTATCATAATTTTTCGTTGCTGTTATTCTGGCTGGTAACAATTATTGGTTATGAGCGTTTGTTCTGCTTTCTGTATTTTTCAATGTTCTTGTTACTTACACTGTCACTACTATTATGATCATTATTATTACGAAAATTGTGTTCATTATTATTATTAGTAGTAGCATTATCATTATTTTTATTCACTATTATCATAGCTATTATCATTATTACCATCATTATTTTTTATTGTCATTATTACCATTGCTATTATTATTATTACCATCATTATTGTTATCATTATTATCATGATTCTCAGTACTATTATTATAATTATGATAATAATGAATAAATTATCATTATTATATATTATATCATTTTCATCGTTACTATCATTATTATCATTCTATAATGGATTTCATTATCATCATAATCTTATTATTACTTATCTCTTCCTATTCCATCATCATACTTATCCTCCTCATCATCACTATCATCATTATAATTGTTATTGTTCTCACTGCTGGTATTAGCTGGTATTAACATTTATATCATCATTATTGTTACTATCGCTATTGTTATGGTGGTATTATATATTATAAATTATATTTTATTACATGTTATTATTATAATTAATGATAATGATAATAATTATAATTTTCATCATTATCATTAATACTAGTACAATTATTATTATTATTATTACTATTATTATTATTATCATTATCGTTATTATTATCATTACTTTTCTTGTTATCATTATCATTATCATTATTATCATCTTTATTACCATCAGCATATATAAGAAATAAAAAAAATCCCCCCAAAATATAACACGTACAATTTTACAGCTGTACTGGAACAGCTGACTCCACACTCTATTCCCATAGTGTCAGAAGGAATTTCAAAAGATAAGCCATAAGGCAGCTTATCCCAGCACCCTCATAATATCGTCATTATTATTATTATTATTGCTGACATTAATGATAATACCATCATTATTATTATCATCATTATTATTATCATCAACATTATTATTTTTATCCTCATATTCAACACTGTTAATATTATTACTAACATTGCTTTTGTCACTATCACTTTCGTATTACATCGATACCATCATTATTATTAATTCTGGTAATCATCTTTTTTTGTTAGCATTATCAAATTACTGTTATTTAAATCAAATTGCTTATCCCAGCACCCTCACTTCCCCTTCTTCTTCACCTCCAACTTCAAGCAAAACTTACTTACTTCTGCAATGTGGAACTTCGTGCAGTCGCTAGCATACCCTGATCTTCACAATTTTCACAACGATTCACAAAGTACTTCACGGATCTCGCCACCGGAAGTGCTATAACGTAGATCACAGTTGGATAATGAAAAGGGGACTTGCCTAGATTACGGAAGCGAAGTGGAAGTGCTATAACGTAGATCACAGATGGTTAATGAAACGGGGACTTGCCTAGATCACGGAAGCGAAGTGGAAGTGATATAACGTAATATTTTAACTGTAGAGAGGACATGTATCCTTATATTTATGAATTCCTCACGCTCGGATCTTTTATGCATGAGTTTCTGGACATACTTTGATATATATACACTTGCAGTCGAGGCTGTAATGATATTCACGAACGCTGTTCATTTTTTATCATGATTATTGTGGTTATCATGATCATGATCATTGTTATCATCATTTCATTATTATTGTTATGATTATCATTATCATTATTCTTGTTTTCATTCGT